TGGCAGGTGCTCATTGGGCAGACCTCAGCCGTGTGGCAGGTGCTCATTGGGCAGACCTCAGCCGTGGCAGGTGCTCATTGGGCAGACCTCAGCCGCGTGGCAGGTGCTCATTGTGGTCCTCTTCCTCTCTCCATGGCCAGGTCCTCCACAGACAGCAGTCGCAGCCCGCCAAGGAGAGCTCCCCGCCCAGGGAGGAGGCGCCGCCGCCGCCGCCGCCCGCCGAAGACAGCTGTGCCAAGAAGCCCCGCTCCCGCACCAAGATCTCCCTGGAGGCCCTGGGCATCCTGCAGAGCTTCATCCACGACGTGGGCCTCTACCCCGACCAGGAGGCCATCCACACGCTCTCGGCGCAGCTGGACCTCCCCAAACACACCATCATCAAGTTCTTCCAGAACCAGCGGTACCACGTGAAGCACCACGGCAAGCTGAAGGAGCACCTGGGCTCCGCCGTGGACGTGGCCGAGTACAAGGACGAGGAGCTGCTGACCGAGTCCGAGGAGAACGACAGCGAGGAGGGCTCGGAGGAGATGTACAAAGTGGAGGCCGAGGAGGAGAGCGCCGAGAAGAGCAAGGCCCCGCCGGCCGAGAGCGACCAGAGATAATGCCAGCCCCCCCCCCCCAGGCAAAGCAATACATTGGGTCCAAGGATTTTTCTGTTTTCCTTTCTTTCTTTAAACAAATTTTTTGGCTTTATTTTTTTTAAATGTCTATTTTATTTTTTTTCTTATCTTTATGACATTTCTCTGTTGCACAGGATACACCTACAGACTGAATCAGTTCAGTATTTCTGAATCAGATATCACCTTGGCAAAGACACCAAGTGTTATACTTTTACAATCGACTGGACCGTCGTAATTATAACCACAGGAGACTCTGCCTTCATTATCCTTGCACTTACGGAAGAGACATCACGCAAATTCCAGGATAGAAAGACCAGCGAAATAAATGAAGGAAGCGACAAGTGTGTGTGTATATGTATATGTATATATCTCTATATTTACATATATATATTAAAGTTGCATGGGACAGAGAACTTTGCAATCCGAAAGAATAGACTGTGAAATGAGTTCTTAAAGAAAAGACTTGTTTATGTATTAAAACACCACTTCACAGTGAGTTGCTTTGGCTTTTTGATAAACTGCGGCCTGCTCTCAGGGTGGGGTGACTATTTTTGAATTCCTATTTATTTTTGTGTTTGTCCCTGAATTTTTTTTTTAATTCTATGGCTTCCTATCTGGCAGCTTAATGGGTAATTTTTGAGGTATGTATTTAACAAAATAAATCAACACTGCCCAAACAGAGAGAGAGAGAGAGTGAGTGAGAGAGAGAGAGGAGAGAGAGAGAAAGAAGGGAAGGGAGAAGAAAGTAAAGTAAAAAAAATTAGGGTGTGATAAAATGGTACAAGTAAAATTACTCTTAAAGGCACAGTGCATACTTAAAATGACTCAATAAAAATTACTTGATATGTTCCATTATTCAATTTGTCAGGACTGTCATGAACAGATGCATTTCTGTGGAATTCCAAATAAGGCTGAAATTCAGTATGGAAAACCTTATCCATTAGTGCAGTCTCGATCAATGGCATTTTGATGTTGGACATACGGAATTCATATTACGAGCCACGTTTTGTTGTGAAATTTATTTACCTGCCTGTGGCTGCAGATCTTACAATTATTAAGCCTGCTCATTTTAAAAGTTGTTCGTTGTTGCTGTTTTTGTTTTTAATAGAAAATAGTTCAATGTAATGTTAAGTTAGAAAAGAAATTGCTGCCCAGGTAAAGGGCCTCCCTCTCAAATAAGTCTCCCTCCTTCTCTCTCCCCACACATTTCTTGTTTCTACTTCACTTTCAACTTCCTCTTCTTTATAATACATATTCCATCCACCTTAGCCAAACATTTCCAGTCCCTTTCCCTGATCCATAGCCCTAACCAGAACCTGTTTTTGAGTCATGGTGCAGCTTCAGGCAATAGGGTAAGTGAAGCAATTCCAATAGAATCACCTACTCGTCATAAAAGGAAATAGTGTCCCAGTTCCCCACATAGCAATTCTCTTACGTGCAGCAGAACTAATGCCAACTGGCTGTTTAGTGGAATGAGCATTAAAGCTGAAGTCTTCTCTAGCTTTCCAGATTGCCGTCAGCTTCCAATCAGAAAACCAGTAGTGTTACTTTCCACTTCTACTTACAGTAATTGCAAGAGGAGACTTCCCCTTTTGGACTAGCCTCAAGAACCTCCTCTAGGCTTGGAAATGGCCCCTCGGCAGTCCCGTATGGTTGGATTATTATTATTTTTTATTTCTCAAGTTGTGTTCTCATGCAACCTTGTCAAAGACCTCATGCAATATCACTTTGAAAAGTTATTTTCTGTTTACTTCACGAACATTGTAATATAACTGTTAATACTATTTATATATTTGAAAGGTTTAAAAGGTAGGAGTTAAAAAACAAAAAAAGCAAAACTTCTATGTGTAGATATGGACTCAGAATTTACACTATACAGGGAGAAGACATGTTGCAATACAAGCTAATTCTAGCTGCTCAGTAACCTCTGGAGTTTTTAAAGGGACATTTTCCTGTACTTTTTCAAAAAATGATGTTTAAAAAAATTATCTTGACATTGACATGAGCATCATGTATCTTTGCAAAAGGATGGCCGTTGGCATTTCAGCCCTGGGCCCATCCTTCCTTTTTCTGAAGAATGCTGCAGCTTTAAACAGAAAGTCCATGGTTGCTGCTTCCTGATCTCCGAGTTACTCTTTCCAAATTGTCTTCTGACACTGTTGCTGAAGGTCACTCTGTGTACATCTAGACACCATTTTTGCCAAGCTCTCACAAGGTGGTTCATTGATGGATGGCATCCGCATTTGGTATCTTTTACACTTCAACCAAAAATTTATTAGGTATTTTTCAATGCTAAGTCTTGCCTTTTATTTTTTAATTTCACTGCCAAGTCTGCAGTGGTTCTAAGTGAATCTGTGGGCATTTTAGCCTGTGGTCTTGCCAGATCTTTGCGAATTACAATGCATATATGTCTATTTATTCGATATCTGTCATATAATATCTATTTGGAAGAAGAAACTTTCTCTTGTAGTGCCTCTTGACAAAGCACAATTTCCCGCCTTTTTTTGTGAAATGAAAAAAAAACAAATTGTGTTTTATTGCAGTATCAACAATGTGAATAAGGATTAACATATTGTAAATGTTCTTTTTTCCATGTAAATCAACTATCTTTGTTATCACTAAGTGATAATTAATTTTTAACTTATGTGCATTGTTAGGCTGTTAGAATTTTTTGGTTGTTAAAATAAAACGCATTCAATAAATCTGACTTTGTTTGTCAAGTATCTTTCCTCCTGTAGAGTGAGACCTAAAGAAACTCTGTACCCTTATTTTAGAAACAAGACAGCAGCACTCACAATTACAGATGTTGATATTCTGTGTCATGTGTGGATTTAATTGCACATGCCAATGCATGTGTGTCCCTGTGTATATATAAACACATGCATGCTCACATCCTGAAGCCAGCAATCGAGAGAGGCATTTACCCAATTGTTGGTCATATACAAACAAAACTCAAATGTATAACAATATATTTATGAGCCCAGTTCTTTATTTTTCTAGTGAATATTTTCTGTTTATAATTAAAAAACCACAAATGACTGCGTGTCAGGAAACTTTTGGAGCACACATGTCCATGGTTAATGGACATAATAAAAGTCTTTTATATTTAGAGCTGGGGTACCATAATGGGTGCATGAAGGAATGCCGGAAGGATTGATGTATCTGAGAAATGTGCGAAAATGATTTTTTAGAAAGTGCTTACAATGGAAAAAATTACTCAAAAAGAGTCAACCCCATAAGGAAAGAGCAAGTGCTTAACTTCAGAACTGGCAAAGAGAAAGTAAATTAAAAAGTGATTTTGTTTTCTTTTGATATTCTAAATGTCTTTCCTGCTTTTTATTGATTGATTTTCTCATCTCTGCACTTGGTTGGTGTGCAGATGAGTTGTTTTTTCTGCAGTTTCACTTGCCCTTTCTCCCCAATGTTCATAGCCCATAGGCCATTGGGACACTTTATAGATATGTGGAAGAAAAATGGGTCTCTAGAGAAAAGCAGACAGCTCAAGGTTTCCAAGAGCAAGGAGGGGCCCCAGAAAGAGAAACAAGTAGTTTATACAAATGTAATTGCCTGCTGTATTTGATATGGGGACTTGGAGGGAAAGTTGTAAGATGCTTTAACTTTGAAACCAAGTGGCTTCCACAGTCTTGAAACACAACCTGTAGAGGCCTTACTCTCCAACAAATTGGGTTTTATCTACAAGACAGTCATTGTGTAGATGACTTTTATTTTCAAGAAAACAGAAGAAGAAATTTCTAATGGACTGGCGGACATGTTAGTGGCAATGCAGAAGATCAGAGCCATAACTACATTGTGCAGATTTTGTCTTCTTTATTTTTTCCTTTTTTTAAAACCCTCCATCCTTTGAAAACATGTTTTCATTTATCCTATTATTTCACCTTCCCAGAGAATTGTAAATATAGGCAAAAAAATCCACATTCTTTCTACAGGCTAATCCTGCTATAATTAGGCAGTGAACATTTAGGGGACATGTACTCTATGCCAGATACATTGTTAGGAATCATAGCAATGAAGGAAAAAAAAGTATTATTTAGTGTTCTGCCCTCAAGATGCATAAAGCTTGTTGGAAAGGTACAATACAAATCCAGGAGAAGTGACTTAGTCATTCACTACTTGTCTTCAGAAAGAGATTTTACTTGCTTAATGGGTGGCACAAACTTGTACTGTGAATTGCAAATTTTAAGAAGAAAATAGTGTTTACGATCTAGAGTGGTAGTGAAAAGTGGCTCAGTTGTGACTAGTTTGGCTGCAGATGATAGGAAAAACACCAGATAGTAGTGACCCAGAGCAAGTAAGACTTTATTTTCTTCTACCTAATGAAATAACTGGCTTCATGAAGCTGTCAGAGACTTACTCTAAACTATCTGGCTTATAGTTCCACTTTTTCCTATGTGTTTCCAGATACCATATTTATGATCCAAGAGGATTGTTAGAACCCCATCACTGTACATTCCACCCATGACGGATGGAAAAAGGACTATAGCATGTGACACATCTTTAATAGAGACTTTCTTAAGCCCTATATCTGTAAGGGAGGCTAATAAGAATGACAGAGGAAAGGAGAGAATGGCGTTCTGGTAGGCACCTCTGAACAGCAAATATCAGGGAGGAGGTTGAAAATCATAGAGCAGAGGATAAATGAGACATATTTGCCCTGCTACCATTTCCTGTACTTTCTATCCTATTCTTGGTCATGTAATGTTGGTCAGCTTTCCTCTTTAAGCCCAGTGTTTCCCATCCTAAATTTAGGGATGAGAAGGAGGTATAGTCCAGTGGTGGGACACCTTTAGAGCATGATGAAACCCTGGGCTCAGTCCTCTAAACCAAAACAGAGCAAACAAAAATGAGGGGTAATGACTGTCAGCCCAGGACTCTCGGGATGCTGGAGAACTCAGGAATGTGAAGAAGTTTTGAAAACTGTAAAACTTGTGAGCTCTTAGAGGGCTTTCATAAGAATCTGCCAAATATTGATCACTTAATTAATTTGAAATGAAGCAACATTTACATCACTGTATAATTATAAAAGTCATATTAAAGTTTGTAGTATGACAATAGGAATGACATTGATCTCTTCAACAAATGTATTAAGCACCAGAAAGTTGCCTCAATTGATTTAAAAAAAATTTATGCTCAAACTGGAGCTTGAACTCAGGGTGCTGTCCCTGAGATTATTTTTTAAGATTCTTTTGCTCAAGGCTAGCACTCTACCACTTGAACCACAGTCCCACTTCCAGCTTTTTGGTGGTTAGAGACAAGAGTCTCAACAACTTTCCTGCCTAGGCTGGCTTCAAATCTTGATCCTAATATCTCAACCTTCTGAGTAGCTAGGATTACAGACATGAGCCACTGTTGTCTGAGTTGTTGCCTCAATTTTTAAAGCTTCCATTCCCTTCCTAGCTTAATTCTAATTCTCATTTTGTGT